TTTTTATAAAAACCACAGCTAGAAAGTTTCAAAATGAAATTTTTTGCTATATATATAAAATTACTATAGATCTCTGTGGCTTTCTGTAACTTTTAAAAAAAGTAGTTTAAAAAAAATTACTAAATACACATATATCTAAAAATATTTACAGCTACACGAAAAAAATTCTCAACCTCAATCTCAAACGAATCTTTATTCAATCAATTTATCCTTATCCCCAAAAAAATAACTATAGCAATGACTACTATTTTAAATAATAATAAAAATATTACTAATACACATATATAAATGTTCAATATTTATTGATATACAACAACATTTATAATGGATTATTTACATAAATGGACTTATATATATTTATATAGGTTTCGTTTAACAATACTTTTCGATGTTTTATCTTTTAATTTTTATATTTTTTATTATTTGAAAAATATATAAAATGTTAATTAAAATAAATATTAAATATATAAAATATATTTTATATATTTTTAAAATATTAATAAACCAAAAAACTTATAATTATAACTATAAAACAGTATTATAAAACTAAATTATAATCATGACTCACTTATACACGCATAAGTTCTACATAAATTATAAGCAATTGATTTTAAAAACAAACGTTTGAAAATGAGTAAGGTTATATTTAGTATCATATATAAAAAAAACTAAAAACTCAGTACTCATAGCCTGTTTGGTAGTTAAGTTGTCACCGTGAAACATTTGGAAACTAAATCTGAAAGTTGAAACCAAAAGTGAAAAGTGAAAACTAACTTGTTTGGCTTTAATTTTCATTAGTAAAATAAGAAATTAATTGTACACTTGTTTGGTTAGTTAATTCTGTTCTTATAATTTAAAAGATGATGGTGACGATCGATGCATTATAATCAATGGTGACAATGATGATCATAAACCAAAAATGCACTTCTATGTCTTCAAAAAAAATCCATGAGAATTTTTTACCATCAAAATTCTAGATTAAACCACTAAATAAATTTTAAAAACTGCAAAGTTGTGTAAGAAATCAACTTAAAATTACACTGAAATTCTATACAAGGAAATATTTGAATATTAAACTTTAAGATTTTAGAATCTCTACCTTACGACTAGACCATACATTTCATTGGCTTGGAGAAAAAAATATCAAATATGAGACAACATAAACATGTGACAAACTTACTTGTAGTGTTATAGCACCTGACCTCTGATCTGTTGCTTGCCTTTACACAGCCTGTGACGTACGTGGCCCAACCATTTGCCGATCGATTATCGAACTATAATTGGATGTAAAGGGAGTTATATAACCTGGTGGAATAAACAGAGAATAATTAAAGAAGGGTTTTTCGGACGTAGCTTAAGAGTGTTTCTTTATATTTATTATTATTAAAAAAATAAAATTTAATTTTTATTTAATTAATTGTCTAATTACAATAATACATGTGGCATTGAGATAAAATTAATGTCAGTTTTTTCAGTTTCAATATCAATTAATAACAGAAAGGTATGTTAATTATACTTTTAAAAATGCAAATTAAAAAAACTTATAAAAGAAATGTTAATTTAAAAGGTTATTTGGTATAGCAATTTTAAACAAACAATTAGAGGTTAAAAGATAGTTGTTCGTGAGTCGCAATGGATAATAAGTAGCGGTAGTAGATTACAAATAATACTTTTAATAACTATTTAGTTATATAATATTTAGTAGTTGTTGTTTATTATCAAATAACAAAGATAAATAAAATTAAAAAATAGTTAATTTTATTTTTTTATTTTTTTAAGTTCTTAACACTAAAAGAATTATATTATTATTGTTATACATTTACAAATGAAACATTCATTTGTTATTTTTTGACAAAAAAATTAATTTTAAAATTTTGAATATAAGGTCAAATTACAAACTTCTTTATTAATTAATTTATCATAATGGCTTAGTAAATTTTAATTAATTACAAATTAAACAAGAAAAAATAAAAATAAAAAATCAATGTTAAAATTGAACATTACCAAAAAAAAAATTAATGTTAAATAATAGGATAATGATGCATGCACACTCTATACTACACTCCGTTACACCCTTCAATTTTTGTTATTTTGCTGTTAATTACACTTAACTTTGTTACCACCTCTTCAACCATCTCTCAACTTACCGAACCCTTTCCATCCTCACCAGATCCATCTTCCTCCTCACATCCATTCTTATCCTAATCATCTGCAAGACAATTGCAAGCCTCTCTTAGGTTCCCACCTTCTTCCTTCTTTCTTTTCTTTTTCCTTTTTTTTTTTTTTTTTTTCTGGAGGACCCAAATTTGGGCTCTCCTAGAGAACTTGATCTGGGTTCTCTGAGAACCCAGATCAAGTTCTTGGTGGGTTCTCCAAGAAGAACCCAGGTCAGGCTCTCTTGGAAAACCTGATCTGGGTTATCGAAGAACCCAGACTTGGATTCTCGAAAAACCCAAACCTAGGTTCTTCTCGGAGAACCCAGATCGGGTTCTCCTGGGTTCTCCAAAAGAACCCAAGAGAAAAAAAAAAAAAAGAAAAAAAGAAAAAGGAAGAAGGTGGGAACTTGTTACGGTGAGAGTATAATGGAGATTAACGGAGTGTATGGGAATTAACGGAAAAAAGAGTGTGTAACGAGAGTGTGGTATGATCAGTGTAAATAAATCATGGTCCTAAATAATAAAATACTATAATCATTAAAATTGAATTATGTTAACAAGAGTGTAGAAATTAGCAATTTGTGAATAATGATAAACTTACTTCGTGTATAGTGGTGACCTTGCATTTTATATCTTATTATTTTATGGTTAAATTTGTTATAATAATTTAAAAAATTCAACTTGTTAATGGTTTAAAACAAAAAATTATTTTGGAAGCTCTTTTAATTTGACAACGAATTGGGCTCGATCTGCTAACCGTTATTATAAAAACTACTAAAAAAAACACTTCTATCAAATACCAAATACGTTGCAGTTTGTAAGAAATAAAAAATTTCCGAACACTTTTATATAAACCGAAACTATTATACCAAGCTGGTCTGACTCTTTGCACAAGTTTAAGAAACAGGCAACCAGCCTTGGTACCGCAAAAACTATGTGAGGTAAAGATTAAGGTGTGTTTGGGATTGTAATTGAGAGTTTTTTCATGTAACTATACATTATTTTTAGATATATGTGTCTTTGATCATTTTTTTTATGTTGCTTTTTCTAAAAATTGCAAAAAATTACAATAAATTTATAGTAATTTTATATATAAAGTCAAAAGATTCATTTTCGAGCTTTCTAGTTATGATTTTACGGAAGGATAATTATACATACACCCTCTCAATCAACACCCATCTCAACACCCAAGGCTAAAATGAGGAGGGGTAAATTTGTAATTTTACTGTTCATAAGCCTTGGGTGTTGATTGAGAGGGTGTATGTATAATTGTCCTTTACGGAAAACACTTAATATTTAATATAATTACAAAATTATTTATTAAAATCTAATTGTATATAATTTAATTATATCATAATTTATATTATTTTAATAATAACAAATTAAAAAACTTAAATTATTAAAAAATAATAAATATTATCTATTTTAATAATTATATATCTTATAATATTTTTTAAATTTTAATTAATAATTAAGAAAATCCACCCTATTTCATTTATAATATTTTTAAAAAATTAATAACCAAACAATACAATAACTTTCGATCACAATTATAATACAACAACACCACAACTAAATATAATTACAACTACAAGTATAGCACTTCATAGCAATTCCAAATGCACCCTAAGATTTCAATTTCAAATCTTTATTTACCTCCAGCTGGATGCTACTTCGTTGGGTAGTCAGACACACGAGTTCACCTACCTCACAACCAGCAAGTATCTACGGGTTGACTTTGTTGACTTGTGGCCTAGGAGCCAACACCAAAACATGGATTATGGCAAGATTTAGAATCCTGCTACGATATATTCAATTGTCTAGATTACCACTTGAGTTGACAAGATATAAGATATAGAGAGAAATGAGAGAAATCCACTTTTAAAACTCACTCAAAGAAGGAGAAACTAGCTAGAAATATTTCTCAATTCAAACTTGTTACTTACAACTAATAAGAATATGGTTATTTAAAGGCTAAAGCTAACTAAAAATAAATAAATGAAAAGAACAACATAGTTGGGAGTTGGGAGTTAGAAGTTAGCCATAATGCTAACTTGAGTGGACATTGTTATACTAAATGGCACTAGCCTACAACGTAGTTGGCGGTATATATGTCGGCTGACATATGCATTGCTATGCTCTAGATTCGTGGTGCATTCTTCCCTAGTTAAAGAAAACTCCTCCCTGAGTTTAAGGTCAATCCTCATGATCCTTATAGAAAGGAGATAGGGCAATGACACTAAAAGTAGCAAAGTCTCTATAGTCACTTAGAAGTTTGATTTTGTAGGCATTATCATTGATCTTCTCCATTATTTGAAAAGAACTATCTACTCTAGGGGAGAGTTTGACATTAGGTTGTTTAGGAAACCCTTCCTTCCAAAGATGTATCCAAACCCAATTATACATGACCTTTTTACGATGCTTGTCATGATAAGACCAAATCATGCATGACCCTTCTCAAAATAAAAGGTGTAAGAAAATGATAGTTTTCATCCCTCAATTCCTTAATCTTCCTCTTGCAAATGAGCTCCACAATGAAGCATCCATCAAGGAGCATCTTTTTTACAAATGCATCTCTGTCAATATTCAATTGATCCTGCATAGCAATTCAAAGCCCTATCTTCATTATTGGGCCTGACACATTTCAATTGTGAATTAATTAGAATCTAAATAACTTTTGGATATTAAGAGGTTAGTATCAAATTTGTATATATATATAAAATAACATTTATAACGGATTACTCACAGCCTGTTTAGTACTTAAGTGTCACTATGAAGCTTTTGGAAACTAAATTTGAAAGTTGAAACCAAAAGTCAAAAGTGAAAACTGAAAAGAAAATTGTTTGGCTTTCATTTTCATAATGAAATAAGAAATTAATTGATACTTGTTTGGTCGGTTATAATAACTTATTTTTGTTCTTATAATTTAAAAGATGATGGTGATGAGCACCTGACTTTTCGGGCTAAGTGGTTTTCAATCACCTTGAGGTGCATTCCACCTCTCTTTTAGGCAAATTTCGAGCCCACCCCCCATGACACCTTATTAAAAAAAAGAAAAGATGATGGTGATGATGCATTATAATGATGGTGACAATGATGATGCTGATGATAAACCAACAAAGTGCCTTTTATTTTTTTTTTTAAATGAATCTATGAAATTAAGCAACATATGATTCAGAACTTTTACCATCAAGTTCTAAATTAAACCCCTAAATCAATTTTAAAAATTATCGACTTAAAATTAGATTGAAAGACAGTACAAGGAAATTTTTGAATAGTAAACTTTAAAATTTTAGAATCTACCACCAGCGGCTTTGAGAAAGAAATATTAAATATGAAACAACATAAACATGTGACAAACTTACTTGTGTTGTGGTAGCTGACCTGTTATCTGTGGCTTGCCTTTACACAGCCTGTGAAGTAGGTGGCCCAACTCTTTGCCATGTATTGGACTATATTGGATGAAAAGGGAGCTATACAACCGTGGTGGAATAAAAGAGAATAATTAAAAAGAATAAAGAAAGACTAATTCAAGTCTTTAATTAAATAAGTTTAAGAAACAGGCAACTAGTTAGTTGATTTTTTTTGAAGGGGCAATTGTTACCAATTACCACGGACAACAAGCTGTGGTGCCAGAGATTGAGGAGGGTGTACATGTGGATGAAGAGATTATCAAGAAGGAGAGGGTCGGTAAAGGAAATCACCGGCAGAACCCAACACCATGTTATTCCTCATGACTTAACGGGTAAAATCGCTCCATTTTCTAGTTACTTGGGTACCAAGACATGTGCAATTTAGCATTTACCTTATTTAGTTCCAGCAGGATGCTAGTTAGTGGGGTACTCAGACATGTGCAATTTAAAAAATGCACGAGTTCACCTGCTGAGCAACTAGCAACTAACTGCGGTTTGACTTCAAAGTTGACTCGGCTCTCTCTGAATCAAAAAAAAAAAGACCTTAAGAAAGCTTTTTTATATACAGAATAAAAAGAACTTTTCATTAAGTTTAAGAAAGAGGCAGCTTACCGTGGCCAAATAGATAACTAAATGATGTGACGGTGAGTGAATATACCAATTCAGTAGGAATAGGTAGTTTAGGTAATAGGGAGGGCAAGAGCCTCTAAGCAAAAATTGAGTGGAAAAAAGTATACCATGAGCTATCAAGTAGTTGCCCTTGTTCTGATCCAGCAAAAATAGCAGGATAAAAATTTCTTATACCTCCCAACCACAGTGGAGGGAGATATATCTTGCAACCCCTGCACTATAATAAGTGTAATAAGACTGACACCATTAACTTGTAGAAAACTAGTCAAGAAACGACTCAGACTTGCTTTTTTTTTTTTGCAGAACGGCGGCGGGAGCGACGTCGTCACAGACGGTGGACTGATCTTGGAATTTGAGGGATTGAATGGAGACTTGATTTGAATCCAAAGTAGTATCGACGTCTGATTCTCTTCTTTCAGCCATTATCGCATAGGAGAAAAATTGGAGCTGATGCAAGTTCTATGCAAGGAAGACAGAAAAGGAAAGGAGAATACTCGGGGCATATTCAAAGCAAATGCCCAAAAAGACATGGTGCAATAAACAATCTCGTATCGCATGAAAGGGATACACGAGGCCCACATCATGATTCGTTGTCAAAAAGGCCCAATGAATGAGCAACTTAAGAAGAGAGAGAATCAACCGCCGAGACTTCAATTATAAAAGATTTTACCCCCAAAAAAAATTAAATGTTAATTATCGTTCCTCAACTTTAAGATTTTACATTATTTTAATTTTTTAATTTTTTTAACATTTTTTTATCCCTTAATTATAAAATATATGCTTTTTTAATTTTTCGTCAATTAATCTATTAAATTTATTTAAATTTGCACATTTTTAATCCCATGATTTTAAATTAATGGACTAAAAATATAAAAATTCAGATAAACTTAATCAATTAACTGACAAAAAGAGAAAAACTATATTTTTCATGGTTAAAGGACAAAAAAATATATAAAAAAAAAGTTAAAAGATGAAAATTATGTAAAATCTTAAGTTGAGAGATCAAAATTGACATCTAATCAAAAATATATATAATTTTAGATCGAATTCAAGAAAATAGTTATGCAATACCAGTCATACACCAATCTTTTGTAAAGATGAAGTTATTCAATCAACAACCAAGAACTACATAAAATAATGATAATATTAAAAGAATAAAAAATAAGGGATTTTCTCCGTGGCATATGATTAACTTTCATTCATATCACAGAGATTAGGAGAAAATAATGTACAAAAATATACAACTCAGCAACAAATTCTCATATAGCCATCTTCTGTCCCAACAAGAAACAACCGCGAGAAGGGTAGAATACAAATACTTGACAGCACTGAAACGTTTCTACTTCCATTATCTGCCATATACAGTTTCTGTGGTGTAATGCGTTGCTGCCCATCCTGTCATATAGCTTACACTGTTTAATCTAATATATGAAATATATTGAAACGCATTCAAACTTTAGATAAACATTAACCCAAAATATTAGATGGATAGATGAACAAATTTAAATGAGGAATCCATGGATGGATAAGCCTATTAGCGTACAACACGCAAATAACATCAATGGCTTTGTGGTGCAAGTTAAATGTATAAAGCAAATAAGGAGGGTAATGAGAACGTACTTCGTCAGTGAATTTAGACAAAGATGAAAGTCCAATCTTATTTTTGGAAATTGAAATAACATCCTGGCCCCAAATTGAGAAACCAGAAACTGCATCTGTATGTCCTTTGAAAACAGTCAAAGGTGAAGACAATTTTCTGCAAGAAAGAGTTGAAACAATCAGATTGGTATGTTAAAATATGCTAGAAGCAACACAAATTTTCTTCTTTAGACGTCTCCTCCTTGGATGCAGTCATGCATACTTACTGAAGCATAGATTTGCAATAGTTTTTGCAGCAGTAATAAGAGAGAGAGCATACCTCCTTAAGTCCCAAATTCTCAAAGTTTTGTCATGAGAACTCGAAATAAGCAAATGCTCCTCCGGAGTAGCCAACTGCAAGCATGAAAAGAAATTACTAGTTTATCTCAAGTTTCAGTTAATAATACTTCTTATTATATAAATCAAATTAAATGTACCTTTGTCACATATCCATCATGAGCTCTCCAAGAAGAAATAACATTTCCACTCCTAAAGTCAAATACCTTACAATGACCAGAACTTAATCCAGTTGCAATCCAAGATGGTGAAGCAAAAGCTCCACCCCCACCCGCTTGCAGTTTGTCAGATCCACGTGAAGATATGGCAGAGACAATAGAGGGAAATGGAGATTCAATAAATTCTCCTTTCCACAAATGAAGTTTTTGACCTCGAGAAACATCAATAAATCTGTGTTGTCCAGTAGCACACAAACAGAATTGTATCAGAAATAAAATCCCTTAATCTATATTGGCTTGTCATGGCATATAATGTTAATAATATCTACCTTAGAGAACCATTTCCAGTGCCCGCTACAAGCATTTCAGCAAATTCCAGGTAATGCATGCAAGTATACAAGCTCCCATCAAGTGCACTAGTCAAAACTCCACTTGATAGTGTATTGGAATTCAACATATCACTATGTTCAGTATTGACCTTCAATGGAGAAGACAAAGAGCTTGAAAGATGTGGAGAATCCAATGATGGTTCAGAAAATAAAGAGATCAGTTTCCCCGTTTGGCTATTCCAAACATGTATAGTTCCATCACATGATGCCATCCGTCCACTCAATGACAAGATACAAATGTCATTTACAACCTGAAAGTTGCAGAAGCAATTAGAGACTTCTAGACAATCACATACATTTACCATCACACAGGACAGACGTGAACCTACTTTGAAAAATATTATTCCAAACCAGAAATTCTAAGGAGTCTAGGAAAAGAACACAGCATGCAGAAATGTAATGAAATAGAAGGAAACTAACCAAGTAATCAAGTCACTATGAACAAAAGAGATAACTGCTAACATTCAACTAAGAGCAAAAACTGATACTAAACCTTTTTCAAATCTTTTTTCAAATAACAACGCACAATGAAATGTAGCTTACAGAGCCTTCAAAAATCCAGATCCAGGGCAACAGATAAATGAAGAAAGCATGAGAGTTTATATGGAAAAGGCTAACAAAATGGAGATGAAGTCATAGAAAACTACCCTGGATGTGTTTTGATAAGACCAGTGTAGATTTCAGTGCAATACAATAAAAGAAATAACAAACCTCCTCATGACCATGATAGCCAGATACACAATTTATTCTTGTCAAATCCCACTTCTGAACAGTTCCTTTGAATCCTGGACCAATGCCTGCAGTGAAAACTGTACTCTCATCTTGGCAAACTGCTAAAGATCTTAATGCCCCATGATGAGCACGAATGGAGGATACAACAGATGCACGGATCTTCCACGGAAATTCATCTTTTGGACCACCGAAACGCCCTAGGAAGTCAGGACCATCCCAGCTAGCAGCTGGACTAGGGAACCAAAACCAAGGTTCAGTCTTCAAAAAGCTTGAAGTTGTTTCATGCCTTTCGACTGCACTTTGTTGAATATTGGTAAAACGTTTCTGAGGCATCAAGTTTTTGGCACTTCTGCTCCCCTGAGATTGTGGAATTGACCAGCCAACCCCATTAAGCAACATTTTAGCAGGACTATATTCAGATGCTGAGCCTTTGATTAATCCAGGCCTTTTTGCAGTTATATACTCTGTACTACTCCGAGACAATTCTCCTGTATATTCCCACTGAATCACAACAGATTCAGATCAGGATACTGAATAATAATAAGCATACTACTGCTTTTGACATAGACTCCAGATCAACAAACCTATATCACTCTTGGGAAATTCAGCCTTCATACCTTCCAATTATGAGAACGTAGAAGAAACTGCTCCAGAAGCAACCAAGTGGCACAACCTTGACGAAGTTTCTCTATCCCAAGTAGGGACGCAAAAGATGGATACAGAAGCAACCTGCATTCAGTCAAGAAGGTATAATGCAGTAAAATAATTCAATGTCGAAACTACTTATGAGCAGGTGATGCAGAATTCAATTAGCAGTTTAGCACGCACACAATATCCATACGGCTTGCAACTGGAGACTCGCCATCAACTTTAGGTCTTGATATCTTCAAGCTTCGACCAACAGAACCAGAACTACTGGAACGTTCTGGTGAGAAGGCAAGCTCATCAAATAACTCCTTAAGCTGGGGCAAGACATGCAACACAGTTAACTCTGGTCCAATCCTCTGACAAATTGCCATGAGAGTTGAAGAAGCAACCTGACCAACACAGGGAATACAACCACTTGGCTAGAGTTAATAATGCATGAAATAGAATAATCAAAAAAGCAATTCCAGAGAATTAGGCAGGGAGCTGGAAAAAACAAAAACTGCAAACTAAATAGGGTAATGAGTTTCTTTTTTCTCTACTCTTACCTTCTCATGAACTGAGTTTAGAAAGATAAGAGATTCTAAAGCAATTTAGAGAGCAATTTGTTGCAGATGGAAGCCACTGATAACTCAGTCTTAAACAATAGGTAGACAAACACCACTTGAATCCAGTGAAACTTTAATTTAAAGGGAAACCACATAATTTATGCTAGAAAGTAGAAACCACAACACTTATAACATTCTTTCTGCCACAAAAGTAATCCTTTTCAGTTCCTGGGTTCGCTACAAATTTTAAGCAATTAGCTACAGTATTAAATAAATCAAAACAAAAATTTTGGCAAACCTGATGCACTGAAATCTCCAGACATTTCTGCATGAGAACCATAACAGGTAAGCAACTCTGACCCTGTATAACCAAAGGAGACGTGCGTCATTTTAAACATCATTGCAGCTTAACATAAAGGCAAAGCCAAGGCGTGGGAGGGACAACAGAAAAAACTGCATACTTCAATCAGCTCCTTTACAACCACCTCCCTTGGCAAGAAGGCAACTAGACCATCTAATGTCATTAGACAATCAATAAGCACCAGAGCACTCCAGCTCTGCACAGGCTCAGGCTTATTCATATAAGAAGTATTAACGCAGGAGCAGGCTACATTTTTAAGCAAAGGTAGTATCTGCCTGACAACAAAGAACTCACCCAAAAGGCCACCTGAAAATTCAAAGAAAAACAGTGATATGCAAACCAAAATATTCATTTCCAGTACAGACATCAATCTCAGAACATAGTGAACTCTAAATACCAGTTCGGACAAGCACGTCAATTCCATCAGGGCAGAGTCCTTTCCCAAAGCAATGAATTAGAGGCAAGATGGTCTGCACTGCAGCCCAAGGTTTAGTGCATCATAATAGAATTATAAAAAAAATCAAGTCTATACCTAGTCAACCAAGAATACTTGGAGCAGCTCACCTGATTAACAGTAATAGGTACACCAAGCTCTTCACTGGAGCAAATTAGCAGTACAGAAGCAGCACCAGCTGAACTCTTGTGAGGAGAAGTGTATAGATTTGATATAACCAGAGGATGTATCATTTCCAGATATGATTGCTTCCCAATCCGGTTCCATATTTCTTGAACAAAAGTGTCTTGGAGAAGAGAAACTTTCAAATGAGAATAGCCTGTAGCCTGGAATAAATGAGTAAATGAGCAAGAAGTCAAACGTGAAAGTTCCATAAATGGATACTAATTAGCATGAAGAATAAAGTTTGCAACTAGCCTGAAGGATCTTCTGGATAGAGGGCAAAACATATTTCTTCACTGCTTGTGGAGTCAAACATTTTATAAATTCTTTCAGCAGTATATAAGCCCATTCAGCTTCTTTATCAGATGAAGGTGACACTGCAAGTGGCAAACAGTATGACACACACATTTCAGCAGCCAAAGTTCCCATTGCTTTCAGGGCTCCTCGTTTTACAAAGTTTGCAGCATAGCATAGTTTGGATCCATCATTTGCAATAAGTTGAAGTGGAGCAGTAAACAAGTAGGCTGACTTTACTGTTTGAGGAAAATATGGAGAATCCAAAAGGCTTTTTGCTGATGGTCTCCTAGTTATTTTGAAATATTTATTAAAAAAAAAAAAATCAATGCAACTGTATAACTAAATATAAATTATGAATACCCCAAGAAATATAGAAAAATGTTCAGGGGTTAACAAGTAAAGCATAAAAGCATCACCTTAAAAAAATTCTAATACCATTTAGGGAAGAGAAAAACACAATCAATACCTTTTCCACTCTTTCTCAATGCACGCTTCAACTAGTAATTTGGCATGAGGTGGAAGTTCCAGCATCAGTCCAGGTAAGACACCACTGTCCAGGTACATGGCCAACGAAGTAGAATCAAAGAGTGGCCTCCTCAAATAAAGTTCCGCTAAGAGACAACCCAAAGAAAATATGTCTGCTGCAGCATCTTTGGAGAACAACCTTGAATAAGATGTTTTCTGCCTCCAAAGAAATAACTCTTGATATCCTATAGAACCTTCATCCTCCTCTGCTATACGCTCAAGAAGATAGTTGGAATCAACAGCAGATGGAAACCCATGGTAATTACCAATATAAGGTGGGTTAAGTGCACTTCGATTCAAATTATTAAGGCAGAACTCTCCTGGAGAAGATCTTTGCTTCAGAAACTCTTCTTTATCATAATTATAGCAAGGACTCAAATGCCTGGCATGTTCAGAAAATGCAGATGCTTCTTCTAACTCTTCTAAACAGGAAGCGTTATCATGATTTTGCAGGGTAACACCTCGGCGTGCAGGATGAGGTTGAGTAAAGAGCTGACGGCGTCCAACTGACCTTGGCTTTGTGGGCTCTGATGAAGACAGCATCACATTCTTGGCATCAATAGCTGCCCGTCCTGACATTTTGTATCCAAAGGTTATATCTATCCAATGATGGATATGGCATGAGACTCGATTGCTTTCTAGTGCAGCACAATGCAATTTAATGAATTCTTCAGGACTATCTGCCCATGAAGGGACAGCCAGATCGGTCATACCAGAGTGCTGAGAATAAAATAGACGAGGATCACTGTAAAATTCTGGGATGCACTCATCAGGTGTCCATTGATAAAGTCTTTGCATGGTAGAAGGATACTCATTAGGTTCATATACAGAACGAACAGCCATTCGTAGAACACTTAAAGGCAACCTCCTTGCTTTGTAGCTGCAGACAGCCAACTCAGATAGACACTCATCTGAAACATGATGTGGTACTTCAGAAGTTGAATAAGTGAAGTCCAACTGCTCATCACCTTTTGCCAACCGCCATTTGCTCTTGCTTAAATCCCGCCACCCTGAATCAGAGTTCTCATCAGGTTTTGTGCTAAAATCTATTACCCAAGGCATTACTGGATGAAACGTGTGGTCTCCCCACCTTCTCCCAGCAAGTCGGTTTAAGAAGAGCAGATAATCAAAATTACTTAACTCTCCCCTCCACCATCTATTGAACTGAGAATGCCAATCTAAAGATGGGGAAAGCTTCAAGCCAGCATATAGGTCTCGGGAAGAACAACATCCCATGCAGCAATTCACTCTTGAGGAGATGG